ATATCCTGGTAAAAAAAATTCAACAATGCTGTTTATAATCTTATTTTTGTTGGAAAATCACTTATCTGAGAAGGTACAGAGAGTGCAGCTAATCTTCCCGATTGTTGAGCACTTTTGTTGACAGTTAAATCAAGCGTCCCAGGAAAAGGTGTACAACTGAAACAAATGAAATGAAAAAAAAAACGTAATTTTAAAGAAATGGCGATTTAGCATCTGAAAATGTCGGCAGCATGGCAGTTCAAGCTAAAAAAGTGCAAAAAGATCATCATTTTATGCAGCGGCGCAAGCTTTGTGATGCAAGTGAATGACAGCTATACCGCAAGCCTCGACGCCCTTTTAGATCGCTTCTGAAGAAAGAGAAGTTTCACCCGTTTTCACCTCCGGAGAAACTTTTTAGTTCCGTACTAGTAAAACTGGCGGAAGTGAGAGATCTAAAACGATTGTTGGCAAAGCACTGAAAGTCGAGCGGGAGTAAGCTTCAACTACAATCGAAAAACTTTCTAAGGTTAATCACGAACAGCGCTCAATATGCCAATATTGTCAATTACATGTAGTCTACTATTATCCCGAAAGCTGTAATAAAAGTCATTATATACGCATTTTTGCATGAAGTCTAAATGCTGATATATGTTCTCTTGAAACGCCACGTTGCGCAATTTAGAATTCTGAAAATCGTCTGAATTACTGTTTGATGACCCATTGCTGCCCTAGAAATTTGTGCATAGTCGAGTAACCGATACTATGTTGGATATGATGAACCTGTCCTTTTCTTGAAATTTAACAAGCGTCAGTCAATGATTTTTACATTCCAGGTGTTCGTATCTCTCTTTTTACACACACACACACACACACACACACACATATATATATATAGAGAGAGAGAGAGAGAGAGAGAGAGGGTTGTTGGCTATGTTGCTAATCACATTGCTACTGAAGCACTTTGTTTGCAGACAACGAACGCTTATTTCAATTTAAATGTGTTGAAAATTATTGGCCATTGGTCGACAGAACAAAGCAAGGAAGTCGATAGGGCAGAAAAGCCTATGCTTTTCTCTCGTATTCGTACCAGCAAACCGCAATATCATCGCCTGCGACATGCCTGTGAACAGTTCAGTGGATGTGTACGTAAAATTCTTATGTATTGCATAATGGCAATAAAATGAGTAATTGAATAGCGTTTAAATTTCTCTTAGGTTCTCACACCAGCAGTTAAAAAATTGACGAAATCATTTTTGACTAATCCAGCGTGCAAGTATTTTACTGTTTACTTCCAAATTACACTAGGTGTCTTGGAGCCATCATGACTACGAGGCTGTATTTACCTAAACCTTAAAGCTTGCATGCAGCATACTTAAGTTACCTACGTATTTCATAAATAAAGATCTTTGGTTCTTAAGCTTAATTTGTCCAGCAGACGCTGCAGACCCTTTTGAGAGCAGTGTTACCGGAGTTCAAGGATTCTCTTGGCCTAAATTTGCCCGACTCGCCCTTATACACTGGGTCAGTTGGCCACACGACGACGTTTTTTGATGGGGTGTCGCACCCTTGACGTTGCTGTCATTCTAACACAGCTTATTTATGCAATTATAAAATACTTACTTAATAAAGATCTTTAGTTCTTAAACTTAATTTAATCAGCGGACGCTCCGGATATAACGTCGTTCGGTTGTAGTGATAGTTCCATCCTAGCCTAAGCAATAACTTATTTCCTTGAGATTCGTTCGGAATTTCTCAGAGCAAGTAAATTTCAGGATCTTCTGACAGACATAATGTACCAACGTTTTTGCCTAAACTATTCAAAAGACGACTGTATTTCCACGCGACTAACCTCTACCAAGGTACATCAAAAACGAAACAGTCCTTTCCCTCTGATGACGCGCAAAAACATTTCGCTTCTTCACTATAAAAAAAACTTGATACAGGCCTGATTTAAATGTCGAGTGGCTATAGCCGTTCAACATTTAAACAATGGGGTTATAGTCTTCCAGGGCACAAGACGGTTGTCCGTTTCTGGGAAATAAATGTAAGGAATGATGATGCTTTATATTAAGTGACACTGCTGAAGTATAGTCAAAAATATAATCACTTGCATAAACAGGCCTTGCACAATCATGCGAACATCGCGCCAAGGCTTGCTTTAATAATTAAAGGAATCGTTGCAACGCAAAGGTTTTGAGCAATAAACGTGGTGCTTTTTGCTGCAAAGTGTCAAAACCTAAGTTAAAAATTCTACAACCAAAAAACAGGGAAAGCGATCAATTAGAAGCTCAAAGTTAACACCATAATGGTATATTGCTTGCTTATTAGCTTGTGTTTCACTAGATTCAGTATCAGAAAAATAAGAGTGGGCAAATTTATGTAACAATGCGTTTAAGGAAAGTGAAGAAACTGGAAGTGAAAAAAATGCACTAAAGAACAAATTAAAATAAAACAAATAATGCTTTATATATTCTATCGCCTCAATGCACACTTTGTAAACCAAATAAATAATTAAAGTGTTAAAAATTTGAGTTGCTCTGTCCTGTCACATATAAAGAGGTCAATGGGTACTTTAGTACGGTGAAAATGCATTCTTCAATTTTTACAACTGATTTTAATTGATAAAAGGAAGCCTATAATTCAGGCAATATCTATGGCCCGGGAGCAGGCTAATCTCTTAGGAATATACAAGAGGTTCCGGATTTAAAAAAATTTCGACCTACCATTATGCGCTAGCGCCGCGTAGCGATTTTATATCGAGCCCCTCTTTAGGTTGGCTATCGCTAAGTAGTAAATACGCCTTTGTAAGGGTCACCGTTGTAGTTAACGACTAATGAAAAAAATTTCTTTTTGGCCTCTTGGCTATAAGTGTCTGAGAAGAAGTTGAACACTGGCATGAGCAAAAGAGGACAGGAAAGCATGACCATAAGCAGAATACTAGAACGCGTTAAAATATGTTTCAAACTAATAAGAGCTTACAAAAACAACCATTGTTTTAGGGTAACGTGCCCCAGGTAACACGACTAAACAAGAATAATATCAATTATATAACTAATTAGCTGGCATGAATCGGATGCATATATGCATGTTTTAAATTTGATAATGTGGTTTAATACAAAACGCATATTAAGAATAATAGGTTTAATGGTGTAGCTATGCATAGTGTTTTGAGAGTGAAGCGACCCTATAGAAGACTAAATAAGGTTTTACGGTTTGGTGTAATTTTTGTGTGGTTGTGGAACTACATCCGTAGATAGTATCATCCTCTCATAAAAATATTGGAAAAAGCTGCAAAGGGCTGTTATGGGGGCCAACCACTGCGTAAATCCCATCAGCTCATCAAGATTTTAAGTAAGGCTCTTTGAGATGCATTTTTTCTTTCCCTTTTTATTCTGAAGCACATGTGCATATCCAAGTGTTACTGTACAGAGCATAAAAATACAACAATGGTATGAAAAGTTTTCTCCTTAAATCTTGAGCTAAACCTCTATACAGTTGAGAAATCCTCTAAACGCCTTGCAAGTCCTTTATCATCAAGAACATGATGGAATTACGTAGGTAAACTTTTACTTGATGCGACAATTAAGGAATAAAAAAATCGAGAATAAAAAAAAAATCCACGAGAATTAAAAAAAATGTTACCAGTGTGTTCGCCAAAAACTCATCTGCCTTGTCAAGTCCACGTTGGGTAAAAAATCGCTCTAAATATTCTAAAGCGGCGGGAATAGGTGGGTCAGAATTTACTTTCCTTACAGCAACACTTCTTACAGTACTCACAACAATCGTACAGCAACTATACCAGTTTGTTCAAAAACTCATCTATATTGTGCCCTGAAACGGCGTTTACTTATGAGACTTCTAGAAAATATTAACTGGAAATGCTTATCTCATTGGACAACAGAGCTATCAGGGCCAGAGAAGAGGCTCTACGAGTTACTAATGATTTGCTGAGAAGGGTTTAGTCATTAAACAAAGCTAAAAGGAACACGCTTGCTTTTTGAGAATAATATTGGCTAGAAAAGATGATGCTTTAAAATAATAATGTAGTACCAAGCTAGTTAGGTCAATTCTTCTATTACAAATCTTGATAAAGCTTTGCTATACAATGTGAAGATGGGTTTTTAATAGTCCAATTGTTGACACTAGAGATTGTACCTTGTTTTAGAAATTAAAAAAAAAATAGTAAAAATGTGAGAATCGTTTGTTAAAGCTAGGTTGACGCATGTCTAGCTTCGAAGGAGACTAGGAAGAAGCAAGGAAACCAGCAGTGTAATGGAATGCCTAACGGCGATACCTGACGAAACGTAGAGATTGGCGCATTGAAGTAAGAGTAACGACCATCGCTAACCATACCGCACTTAATTAAAAACGTGTAATCGTAGGTGTCCGCAATTTATTGTACACTTTAGTGAAATTGCGCAGTTCTAACGGTAAGCTGTGACAATACGGTCAATAAAACGACAACATACGGCAATAAAAAATAGATGAAGATAGATAGATAGGTAGAGACAAAGATGAATATAAAATGCTTTACTTTAGCTTAACATAGATACACGTATATATACTTAAACATAAAAGCCCACTAAGCTATACTGTAATCTGAGGCATATCAGTCCGTTCAATTTTTCTGTGAAATTAATTATCGATGGAACTCTGTTTTATATATGACCTGAATACAATGGGCCGTTTAGCCCCGCCATACCCCCCAATTATAATTTCTAACTCATATGCATTCTAACGGTATTGGAAATCTATTTAGAAACTAACATAACTTAATTAGATTAATGAAATGGACCACATAGCTCCATGCGCAAACAACTCCACCATCCCCTACCTTGGCAACGATTAAGATATCTTCTTTCTTAGTTGCTTTCCTTAAACTTTACGTGAATCTTGAATTGTATGTGTTTTATTTGAAATTTCGCGCTTCTGACTCCGTAAGATCTGTGTGCGACCATTCATAGGTTAGAGGGATCCCTTGATCTGCGTCTATTCACTAGTTACAGTCAGATGTGAATGTTCTCCGTTGTTCGGTAATAGTAATACAAACTATTGTACCGTGTGGTAACTGCGACAAACTGTGTGACCCGATGAGTACAGTGTAGTGCGGATAATCAAGTGCCGTAAGTTTGAAATAAGTGGATGATAAGCTATAATTAGTGGGATTTTTTTGTGTGCCCCGTCCCTCAACGGGCGGGTTACAAGATTCAGGTTGCACTTATAATGGAGAGTAACCGTGAAGACGCATTGCAAGCAATCCGAGTTGCTAAGAAAGCTTTGCAAGACGGTGATCAGGAAAAAGCTAAACGTTTGCTCCAAAAATCAATCAGATTATGTCCCACCGACTGCGCAAAAGGTGATTAGCTAAGTGCTTTCCGCTACGGTGACTACAGCCGTCAACGTGTATAGGCCTATATGTGACATCCGAATTCTGTTTATTTTATGAAATAGGTCTATGTTCCATCTCTGTACTTACCCTTTACCAAACTTAACGAATTTTTAACCTCTGTCATATTCACATTATAATAAAAAACAAATGATACGTAGTAGGATATATAATATTAAAGATGACGCTTTTTATATATAGTTAATATATGTATACAGTTCCAACTGCGTCCTCAACGGTGATTTCCTGGATGCTAATAATCGATATATTATTCAGCCCCGTGTTTATAAAATAATCAAAGCTGTCTGCTGCTATAGCGATATAAGCCTGCAGGGATTAATTGTTTCCTGAGGTTTTTTTTGGCATGGGTCCTACCGTAGCCGTGCACAAACTTTAAAAGTACGAATATACGAATTGCGTTCTGGCACAAAAGCATATAAAAATAAGTATTGTCTTGAAATTAAACATACGCAGAATTAGGGTGTCAGTTAAACAGGCATCAATCAATGCGTTAGTAATAGCAAAGGACTAGAGCATAAATTTATAACCTATGGATTGTGAAGAATGTTTTTACTTGAATCTAAGTACTTCTTGTACGTTCACCGGCTCGAACCACTAAGTATCTCTCTGCAAAGGTCAGAAATAGTTGATTCGAACCCCGTCGACACGAAGCACGATTTTGTAATAAAAGGGATTAACTAACTTTATAGCTGGAATATGTCCTCTATGTTGTTGGTGTTATCGTACGGTTTTATTTCCAGTAAAAATTATTTAATTTAATATGAGAAATTTATGATATTATCAGTACTTAATACCTGTTAAGCTATGGTATCTAAGAACATGCAGTCGAATGATAAAAGGTGATAACAAAGGAAAGACTCCGACTTAAGCTCACTCCTGCTTTAATTAGAATAATTTTGTGGAAGCGTAAACAGTTTAAATACTCATCTACCTAGTCCATAACAGTAGTAAGTCTAATATACTGGGTTCCCAAATAAGACCGTACGGACTTTTCACATATGTACAATAAAGCACGATCTTATTCCAGCGAGCATTTGTCAAATTACCTCTTGTTCAATATTTTGGTCACCTTTGTCAACGTTCTGACAAGACCGCAATTGCGTTCTACTAGGTAATGATGCACATGCTCTAGATATTATTATTCCTACACGAGAGTATTCTTGCAAGGAAAACTGCACTTTTCTTAGTCTGCATGCCTTTTTCGTTACTCTTATATAAAGAAATTATCCTACATTTGTAGTTACTAGGTTACCAAAAAAACGACTTCTTTTTAATAAGTTCCTGACGTGCAACTACGCACTGATCAAGGCTGTGATTGTTGAACCCGGAAAGCTTCAGAAATCAAGAGTTTGATGTATTTTTGAGCGCACAGCTAAGCCCAAACTGTTTCAATTAGTATTCCGAAAATGCTCCCGATCTATATGAACTTGAAATGTGAATTTCCCTTCACGAGCGTCGTTTTCATGGTTGTTTCGATCGCTACTGTCATCTGGGTCGTGACTGCTCGTCAGGTTCCGTTTTTTCGTCTAAAGGAAGCAGAGTACTCTCAGACTATGTACTCGGTGGACTTCGTATATCGAATCGTCCTTGTCAACTTTTGTTCAGGAACTAACAACCATTATAGGCAAGAAATTATCGTTCAAGTTTTTCAACTGATTTCAAATATAACTATGAAAATACAATTTGGAATCAAGCCAACTTAACGCTATATTATACTTGATATATATTGTTTCTACCTATACAAGCTAGTACTATTTTCAGTGTGAATATTTACCTTTGTTGGGGATATAGGAATTCGTTTAAATTGAATTAACATCATTGGTCTAGCATCCAGTAGCTAATTTAGTGCACAAAATAATCAGACACTAAGATAGTTTTCCTTTTCATAGTCAGGTCCTTTACAAAATAATAATGATTTTGATTTACGACGGAAATACTCTCCTTTATTTTTTATACATTTGTTCTAACATTTTGGCAGCTTCCGAACAACCATATACCTATTCACGTTTCCCTATGAAATTTCTCTGCCTATTGTTTCTTGAAGGAAATCTATAGTGGAGTATGCATGCTCACCGGTTGCCCCCTTTAGAGCATGGAAAGCCCCGTAGTCATACGGATTTAGATTGAGAAAATAACCAAGCAACAATGTTGGATATTACTTTAGTCTATATAAGAAGTAATTGGCACATGGCAATGAGCTCTGGCATGGTCAACAAGTAACGAGACTTCGTGTTTTCGATAACCGTGCCAACCGTTCATGAGTCACTTTAGAAACTCGAAATAGCAGGCTATGATATATTTTACTTTTGGCGAGTATTTCAGAAGAGCAGATGCCATTAATGCCCACTATGAGTACTACCATTACCTTATATCCGAATCTACTCGACACTGCCACTGAACTTAACCTCTCTCTAGGACAATGCCGTTTTCGCGCCTGGCCATTTTTGGACTGGCCGTATATATTAAAAGATGCCTTGACTATGGAGGACTTATACTCCAGGCCAGTTTTTTTTTATTAAAGTGCTGTAAATTGCACATGGAATACACCATGCGCATTTCCAACTAGCCTGGACTTAACTCAAGGAAAGCCCATTGTTTACTTAGGTTTAAAATTTGGATTACAACATACAAATACCAGTTCTGGCTTATACAACTTTTACACTCCAAACTCTGCTTTCGCGAAAAGCCACCTCAACTGCTGCAGTTCGGATCCCGACGTCTGGTCGCTTCTTCGCTAGTCTTTAGAACTCCAATTTGCGTTCTTAAAACGTTTGCATCATTGACATACTATGCTTTTGCCCATGGCTTCTTTGCCTAATGTCTTCACCAATCTTCAATGAATTTCCGACGCGCTATAGCTATTTTCAAAACTAAAATATGTTTTTACTTCTGAACTAGTTTCTTCAGTTCGAACACTAAACGCAACCGGTTTTCACTTACCAGTTTTTACCAATTAAACTTCGTCTGTTCATGGGGCCTACAAGCTATTCAGTTTCATTTTGCCGGATTCGCTGATAATAATTGTATTTACTCACTGTGTAAAATTATAGTTAACAAATTCCTTTTTTTGGGGCTTTTCTACATAGTGTATGAGTCATTTTGTGGAGATTTTTTAGAGGAATTGAGCAAAACTGTGGCTTCGAAAGTAAAAAGTAAAAAGAAAAAATTCAGTGGTAATCTTAACTGAGTTTCATCAGAGCGAAGTTTTTGTAGTAATTGCCATCGATATTAACTAATCCAGTAATTATTATCATAAGAAATTTCGTTTATCACTCTTGCGGTATGATACAAAAATAAAATATTTTTGTTTACATATACATTTTCTGAAAATATGCGTTAGTATATAGTGTTGAATGGACAGTATACAGTACACAGCAATACACACTGTAAGATGTAACGAACGGTGCCATCAAAGTGCTGAAGGTCAAGCCACGATATAAGTAAGGTCACAACATAAGAAGGGAGTGTCAACTTTCGTAGTAGTAAATACATGTTTTGACTGCTTGTGTGCTGCAAAAAAAGCAATAAGTTGTGCATATTATGCGAACTTAAATGTACTTAAAAAAGCAACGAGCAGGATGTAGTGTGCGAACAAGACTATATCGAAAAATTATTTTTTGGTTCTGTAGTTTAGAAGTTTTGTATATATTGATTTGGTAAGTTTGTTTTCAACATGGCAATATCTCTAGTTTTAGCATAAAGGAAGATGGTTGTCATATCTGATAGGCTCAAAACACGAATTAAAGAGCAAAAATATTAATTTCTAATATTAAGTTTATTATCATCAAGCAAACATGACTTAGTACTAAGATTTAACTAAGATGATGATGATCAATATGTTTTAATAAAAAGGTAAATCAAAAAGCGATAGCATAGATGACGTACGCGATTTCACCTTGTCAAGAACACAAGTCTAAATATATACCATTTTTACGTTGCGTCCCCATTGATCGCCTTCACGGCTTAAAAGCAAGAAGCATTAACTCGAACACTGCAATTCGACTTAGTATTTTGTTCCCTTATAATTAACATCTCCAATAGCATTGCACGATTAGTTCTGTAAATGTGTAACTGTAAAGATACAGTCTTTCAAGATCTGGTTTTGAATTATAACTTTACTCTAAGGTTAAAAGGCAATAAAAAACATGGCGGCGTACATATTGTGGTAAACCAAATATCTGGTTTACTAGAAGATGTTTCTCTTATGCATAGGTTCTCATAGAAATTAGAGTTGGAGAATAATAGGTAGTATGAAAAATATTCAATCAGAATTTTCTAAAATAATATAGTTTCTAAAATGGTAAAATAGTTTTTAACATTTCCATGCTATGCATTGCATAATTAATGATGTTACGTGAATAGTATTGAGAATGTTATCTACCCAAAAATAAATAATCGTTTAAATCAGAATGTTTTAGTTTTTTTTGTTAGTAATTTCCAGCTGACTCAAAGTTTGTTATTAAAATTATTCCAATCTTTATTACCAGGGAACCGCATAGTTTGACCAGCGTAAAGACCCTTTTCAACCCCATGCGTGACATATTCGTTTCCTTCTACAGCGACACGGCCAGGGTTTTAACTGGCGTATACTACCAAAACAATATTTTAAATCTGATATCTCATAGAGGAATCAATTTACTCTTTCGTTATGTCGATTAACCCATAGATCAGAATTGCTTGAATGATAGGTAAATGACACATTAGTTAGTTTGCGCCAGTTTGATTTGAGGGTGCCTCGATAGTAGGCAAAAAATCTTGAGCTATTGTTTTTTACTAAAATCTTATTTTCTGGTTCCTCAACTGTCATAGTAGTTCTCCACGAGCTCCATGTCATCCATATATATATATATATATAGTATAAGGACCGGTTCTTATAATTTAACAATAAGTTTAAAATACTTGTTCTTAATGTAACGGTTGACCTGTCGTTGTTCGTGAAACTTTTTCAA